ATTGTCGTGAAGTTTGGCTTGTTTCTTTTTATTGTTATAGTTGCCGCGCCTTCCATAAACTTTCCAACTTGCAATAAAAACTTCACGTTCAGTTTCAATCTTTTAGTCTAAAATTTATCTCTAAAAAAAGTCTAAGTTAAATAGAGGCTGGTGTTCGAGAGTTACGAAATGGGGTGTAATGAGCAACTTTTACTCTAAGGATTACTGATACTTTGACCAGGGCCTCAATTCCGCTATTTTATGCTAACGTACAAGCTACTATCATTTCATTGACACGCTGTTGAGATGCCTACTAACATAAATTTATTAAAAAGTATAAATAAATGACATATGTTAAACCCAAACATATCACAGACATACATAAAATGACTACGTGACACGCATAAGTAATCATCTGAGCAAATCGACTATACTTAGAGAACTAACAACTACGAAATGGATTAGTGCACGGAATTATCTCAGATTCATGATACACAAGTTCGGAATACAGAAATCTTACCATATACAATTAGCAAAAATGTATACTCCCAACAAGCACATGAAGTAAATTATTGGCATACGTCAATAGTGATATATAAATTACCCTAATCCATCTTAACAAATACTTTAGTTTGTGCCAATAGCACAATAACAAGGAAAAAACATAAAAACAGTTACTGAGTGTAAAAAGATTACACAAACTATTAAACAAAATTATGACAGGGTTTTATTTTTATTGCTAAAGGAACAGTAACTATATAATTTATTTTCTTTTCGACAAAGTCTTTACTTCCCGTGCTAGTAATGAGGCTGTGTTACGGTAAGGTAAATTCTTCTCAGATATTATTTTGTGGCCCACAAAGGTATTATGGGAATATAATACATTTATAAGCACATACACCTACACATACCTACGTATACTAAATAAATATCTATATATACACACATATTTTTACTATGTATATCACTACTATTTATACACAGTTCTATTTATCCATACGCATACATATATAATCGCATACATACATATTCAAGCACTTACATAAAATATTTGTGCACCATTTTGCTTGCTTACAATACTCACTATACATACTCACACACAATTTCGGATCAAAAGTAAATCACCCGTACAAATAACAATCACGAAACGTTTCTTTACTTACATACTTGCATAATTTTTTCTGTCCCTTCGTAGTCTAAACTCATTAGGTACTTCTCCAGTTCCCTCTTGCATACAAATCTCATGTTTGTCAAACGTTTAACTTTACTTATGCGATTATAAAGCAGCGGGCCGAGAAAGTGTGAAAAGCATTGAGCAAACGCAGTTTTACAAGAGGGCACCTCATAAATATCGTGGGTTCTTCTCATGGATCTATTTGGAGGCCTTTGGCGACGATGTTGTTTTAAAATAAGGTATTTAATGAAATGTTGACGAATAGTGAGGACTTCAAATTCCCTATACAATTTTAAGGTAGGGTACTTAAACGGTTGGAAATTAATTATTTTTAGAATGCAACGCTGGGCTCTTTCAATTTTTATCAGGATACTTTTACGCGCACCACCCCAAGCCGCAATGCCATAAGTAGCTATAGACTGACATAAAGTAAAGTATACATCCTATTAACCTTTCGATCTCTTAAGTTTCTAATCTTTTTAAAAATGGGAATGAGTTTACGTATTTTAGATCAGAGATTAGTAGTATGTATTTTAATCCCAAGATATTTTATACTCTCTACTGCAGATAAGGTGTAACAGTCGCAACAGCCTGTAGAAGCACATGTTTCAGTATTTGGCTTTGATTTCATATTTAAAATACTACGCATTTAACTGAAAATAAACATCCGAATACATGAAGAAATTCTAAACAATACATAGCAGGTAGGTAAACTACCAGGCTTTAGCAGCATTTACGCTTTTGTACTTCAATTAAAGATATTTTTAAGAATTATATTTTGGGTAGTCGAGTTTCCGAACTTCTGTTTTACACTGATTTTTAATAGTTCTTCTTCGTATATATTGTATTCGAAACAAAAGGTGTAAGATCAATATTTTAATTAAATATTTATACCTAAAGTAGAATTGGGACTGTAAATAGAAAAATACGGCGACTGAAGGCCTTGTAAAAGAGAACTGTATTTTCATAATTAGAAAAAAATACAAGTAGGTCTATGTGTAGATGTCTGAATCACCGAAGTTCAAAATAACGTTTAAGCTTGCGACCGAGCACTGTAATTTGAACTGTCACCAAATTAACATAAACAAATCAACTACTGCCACGAAAACAAATCAAAATTATAATTGCAACTCACAAAATTTTGTTTGTCGTTCTGACAATTCAATAGGTAATACAATCTCCAAGGTTGATAATGACGTCACAGTTTACATAACTAGGATATAGATATTAGTATTGTGCATGACCTGTAGTTCACAAATAGAGATGATTCGTTTACTAAATGTTTGTATCGTCTAAATCTCAATATTTTAGTTCTGATTTAGCCTTTATTTGACTTTCTTTGATGAAGCAATAATAGGGGCTATCGCGTTTGACCAGTGTAATGTAGTAACCTGGCAGCACTTAGTTTCCGAGAGATCATATCGTGCAAAGTACGTATTTTAGTGTAAGTGGCTGCAGGACGTTTTCATGTACACAGACCCGTTTTCCCTTATATTTTATTATAGTATATATTGAAAGTGCTAAACAGCTCGATTTTTAATTTAGTAAGAACTATTGTGTATACGTGTTTTAAGATAAGTGGTGGACATATACATTTATCCATTTACATAAAAAAAAACAGCTTCATGCTTAACCGGTCATAAGTTATTTACCTATGCTGCAGAGTCCCAAGGCCGATTCTCTTGTTAATACTAGTTCATTAATAAAGTCAAGACTCCGAAAGCTCAAGTTTCTTTGCTAAATGCTAAGGACTAAATCTCTTTTTCATAAATGTGCAAATTGCAAAGTTGTATAAAACAGTAGCTCATTTTAAATTAAGCTTTTTCTAGAGTTGTATATTGCCTTTAATAGTCCACTGCTGGAAATAGGTATCTCCTTAGAAAGGAGGTTTTTTTTTCTAGTTTATTAGTCATTTAGGATTACTATTTCATTTAAATGAGTCTAAGATTGTCAGATTCGTCCTGTTAAGTCTCTTTTGGATCTCTCTAAGTCCCTATTTCTAAATATAATGGAGACCCTTGTAATTAATTCTGACTAAGAATCGCCTAACGTTATATCATATGCGAGATAACCGTAATAATAAACCGATATCTATTCATAAAATATCGTTATCCATTTGGTTTAGAAACAGAGCATGTAGGCCTCTCAGCCGGTGTCATTCTGTTCTCTGTGGATATAGGGTCAGTGGGCAAACTGATATTCTGTTAAATTATTATTAACTGGTTAAACTAGCAATTGACACAAGAGTGAAGAAGGTCATGTGAATCAGAGTTTTATTTGTTTGTATGATTGTCATTGACGATTTATAGTCCGCCAGATCGCTGTACGTACAGGCCGGTACGCACACTTACACACATTCGTCGGCCATTACGCTCGCAAACATCAAAACAGCGAGACGCATTCACATCATCACATCAACAGTCTTTAATAGTCCACTGCTGGACATAGGCCTCTCCTTAGTATGGAGGTTTTTGGCCTACTATACCACGCTGGCCAGACGGGTTGGTATAGGGTTTGTGTCAAGTTTTCCTTCTCTTTGCAGTGCTGTTGTCCTGCGTAGTTTGCTCCCTTAGTCGCCTCTTACGACACCCGCGGGATGAATAGGGGTGGTGACACTCTGTATTCTTAATCCGTCACCACACGGACAGCGAGACGCATTACGCCGCGAAAATATATAAATATTTATATAACTGTAAAAACCGTACTGTCCGAAAGAAACATAATCCAGAAATCACGTTTCATAGGTAAATGAATAATTAAATCACTTACTGCCAAATTTTATGCCTTAAAATTAATCAGCATTCGCTATAACAAAATAATTCATTATAAGCCCAGTGTTGCCAATTTTCAAGTGTGCAAATTACCCGAAACAAAGGAAATTTTTGGTTTGTTTTTAAAATCAATATATTAAAGTTATTTATTTAATAGTTATATAGATATACTATTTCATATTCTTTAACTACACTTTCTAAGGAAAATGGAGTATGGAGTAATTTTTGGATTCAAATAATTACAAATTTTAATGGTGAAAATAAAGACAACACAGAGATATTCTCACAAATTTCTAGAAGTTTGTTGGCAAAGCATTTTTTTTACTTAGAATCGTAACATACTTTCGTCAGAATAGAACACAAAATAAGTCTGATAAAATATGTAGCAGAAAAATATTTAACAATTCGGTTTTACCTTATCACGAAATTAGACGAAACCTCTCAAAGTAAAAGACATTATTATAAAAAAATGACTCAGAATTTAAGATATTAAACAGTAAAATTTCGAACAAACAAAATAAATATATATTTTTTATTGACTGTACTTTTAGGGAATACTAGTACATGTACGAGTATTCCCTTGTTACTTGACAACCCCATAATTCATGCAGACACACAGAGCTGCCGTCATTATGGTGCCTCAGTTTTGTGTTAGCGAGAGTTTTTTATACGCCCATGACTGAAGTATAATAAAATTGATATATGCAACGTAATATTTTAATGTCTATGTAATATAATATATGCAAATGTATTATACTGAAAAACAAACTTTTTTTAATTATTAAATACGCCGATTGTGAACCAACTTGAATGATACTCTTTAAAAATAATTGAATAAGTTTCTTCATGAACTATTTCTTCATAATAGGTGGAGGTTCACAATTCTCAAAGTGCGATATCGTTACTCGTATAGATAACAGAAGTTCTTAGAAATACGTTTACAATCGACTAGAAAAATATCTATATACTTTATACTCTTAATGCGCCTATCACACATTCATCAACCTCCAAAACCTTGTCATGTCTCAACAATGCAAAAAAAACTTTAAGATATTAAATTAATAACTATTACTTACGTCCTTGTCTATGACCAGGCATCATGACGGCGTTCCTCTGGTCCGGCCTTAAAAGGCTCTCGGCCTCTGCTCCTGATTGGTGTGACATCTCCATGCTCAGGTGGAGGCGGGTCGTAGTACCAATATCATAAAACTAATACGTGCATCTGTGTTCTTCGTCGGCGAATTGAATGACTGCGTCTGTTGGACAAAATTAGAACGTTCAGATTTTCAAGTGGATATGTTGCAAGTTGAAGATTTTATGCCTTTGTTATTGGATACAGTTAAGTACTTCCAATTTAATTGTACATGCATTAAAAGTAAAATATATCATATCTTTGTATTGCTTTGCCATAGAAGCTTGATTTTCTACAGTTACTAGGGACCGTATACTAATGTCAATTTCAATTGGCTACCTGGCAAAAAGGTCTTGACGCACAACTTAGCGAGGCTATGAAAGTCTCTATTGTTGGAGTACATTTATGAAACTCCAAAATGTTATCTGCTACGGATATATAAAGTCTACTTTCAATACAACAAATGCTGATGATGAATGAAATTTAAAAACAAGTTTTTTTAAGAAAAGGAAATCCTGGGAAGTATGTCTGGGAAGCAGTATCCTTAACTTAAATTATGAAATAAATGTGATTCTTTGCTTATCAAGCTTCTGAAGAAATTCTACAAGCCGCACGAATCTTTGTAATGATTTCATGTTACGTTATCACTTTAGGCGAACCGTAGGTAAGCTTTTAGTGTTTTTATCGTTTTTAAACAAGCCATACACACATCTTTTAAATGATAACATTATCATATACTGATTGCCAAGGAATGAAGTTCAATTAAAATTTATTAATAGTGTTATCCAAGTTATTAATGATATTAGATTGTATATGACTTTTATGACTCCTAATTTTAAGTATCTTGAGCAGGGGTTTTATTTAAGCTCTACTTTATCAGTAATATGGTCAATGAAACTGATTAGATAGGTACTGTTGTTTAAGTATCATCAGGGAACAAATTGTGATATCCCTGTAACACGACATTAATCCTGCTTAGTGAGGATCGAAGCAAATCAGTTTTTAACTTTTAAAGTTATTTAATTTAAATAACTTTAATTGCGAGTAAAGATAGATCATTTCAAAGTTTTCTATGTGCAATCTTGAAATATTGGAATTAAGGTATTGCATGAATGTACATATATGTAGTGAAGGAAATATGTATGCAGATGAGTACGTTAGTTTTATCTCTTTTTTTATTTATATCTTGAAAAAAGAATTAATACAAGCACCATCTTGTATTAGTTATTTTTTTATATAGTATATACCACCGTATATACTATCCACTTTAAGTAGTCAGTATTTAGTAGTTGCAAAAACAAAACAATTCCGTTGCTGTTGTTAAATGGATCTTGCGAAATTTAAACGAAATGAATCGAGTTCATTGACATAGCCACAGACAATATGAATCGATAATGGCTTTAATTTAGGTCTCATCAACTTCAAGTGCGTCCACTTCACATCGATAAGCATTTGCCGTTAAAAATGAAAAAAATGACACTGCCTTTCTAACATGACTTCATTCTCATATTCGTCACATAAAAAAGTAGGTTCTTGTGTTCTAACTTTAAAATCAAGCAACAGGAAAACAATAGAAGTTCACTGAACAATTTAAATTAATAAGATGATGTGCCGTTTTTTTTTAATTTATAAAAGAAGACAGTGAAAATAGTGTAGGTATACTATGTAAAAGACACGGCTTGCTTATAGTAGATTACCAGAAGATACGTCTAAATTATACAGAGAACTATACTTAAGTAAAGATTGCAGTATTGACTTTTCTGCCTATGCAGACCAGACTAGTGTTACATTTTTTTTTAAAGAATCTGACGAGCTTCAGAACTTTTAATGATACGCTTTTGCGGTACGGTACTGTCTGTTTCTCTATGACTAGTAAAAACTTAGTAAATAGAAAATTACATGAATATAGATTACATCTGCTCACCCTTTTTTTTTTTGTTTTTTCCGTGCGGAAATCCCCTCGGATACCACCTGTCGGTGGCATGTCGGACTCGAACCGACTAAAACCGCACGCCGTCTCGTAAAGTAATTAACAAAGCAACGTCTCAAATACTTTTGCCCTTACAAGTTTCTGTCGCAGTTAATTATTTTGAACCTTCAATTCGTTCTCCGGCCATTGTATGAAAAACAATGTGGAAACCATTACTTAGGCATGAAAATATTCATGAGTAATAAATTGGGACGAAAATTTTGATCTTACAAAGTTTCCTAATTCAATTAAGCTTAGCAGATGGTTTGGAGCATATTAATAAATACTATGTTAGATGCTTTGCAGGTTTGAAGAAGTTAGGAAACATGATCCGATATTTTTATTTATATTTCTTTTAAATGTATACTGCGTTATTTTTCAAAACAGTTTTATTTAAGATAGCACAAATCTATACTAATATTATAAAGCTGAAGAGTTTGTTTGTTTGTTTGTTTGAACGCGCTAATCTCAGGAACTACTGGTCCGATTTGAAAAATTATTTCAGTGTTAGATAGCCCATTTATCGAGGAAGGTTATAGGCTATATATCATCACGCTAAGACCAATAGGAGCGGAGCACCAATGAAGAATGTTTCAAAAACAAAGAAAATTTATTACTATTGAGAGACGCAGACGAAGTTGCGCGGGTCAGCTAGTGTGAAATAAAATAAAATATTGTTGCTTAACAGAACATGAAACATGAAAAAAAAATTAATTAGAAAACTTCTTACTAAAACTACAAAAACACTTAAATGTTTTTTCTCATAGAAAAACAATAATGATTGTAGTCTCTTTGATTACATACAGTATCATAACAACGTACTAGCGCTTAAGCGTTCGGCGACAGTGGGGATCGCTTTGCGCATCGTGCACTTGTGGCAAAATAAAATGCACACTCATTTATTATGAGGCAGGTGATCACTGGGAAAAGGTGCTTCGGGGATCAACTGTGTGTTATTCGCAAGGAGCCAACGCCTGAGTGCCACCACTGCGATGGCCGTACCGTGGACACGGCGCTCCACACGCTGGCAGAATGCCCGGCATGGGTGGAGCAGAGGCGTGCTCTCATGGCGGCCATAGGGGTGGGAGTTCTCTCGCTCGGTAACATGATTGCGGCCATGGTGTGGAGCGAGAGTGCGTGGTACCCCGCCATATCCTTAGATTAGATCTCTAGATTCGGGAGCACAAAGGGAACATGGGGTTTCCCACACAGGAGGGGGGTCATCTACCCGCCGTAGATGGCCGAGGTACGACGGGGTACCAGGGATTTCCTATCTAGGGTACACCTGGCTCCTTGGCTACTGTTACCTGAGACGGCGTGCGGTTTTTAGTCGGTTCGAGTCCGAAATAGCCACCGGTGGGTGGTATCCGAAGGGGATTTCCGCAATGAAAAAAAAGGGTGAAATAAGAGCTTCCATCAAATCACTTTCTTATTTAGAGCTGGTAATGGTACGGTGCCCATTTCATCATCGTCGTATAGTGTTATATAATACACTTACACTTACACTCTTTATTTAATACACTCGCATAAAAATCTCAATTTTTAACTACCAGTAAATTAAATTGATGAATTGCGAAAGTAAAAATGATTAAATTAATCATAAAAAAGAAAGACCCTATTAATTTGCTCGGCAGTGTACTCGTACTTAAGTACGAGAAAACGAATCACGAGCGACGACAATATCGGTGAGCCAATCACTGGCTGACGTTACAATTTGCCCCCCGTCCTAGGTCACACCTCAAAAGGAACGCAAAAATCGACTTCTGCGCATTTGAAGGTCAGCGCTCAAGATCGACTACAAATATTAGGTCTTTACCTATGAAATTGCCGTTTTGTATGCAATAAGTGAAAGTACTTTTTTATTTCTTTTATTCGAAGTAATCACCCATGCAATCGACGCATCTTTGCCAACGCATTGGCAGTTTACTGATGCCCTTCTTTTAAAAATCAGCTGGACGGGAGGCAACAAACTCTTCAAAGGCATTTTGTACTGTCTCTCGGGAATTGAATTTTTTACCCACTAAAAAGTTGTCTAAATTTTGGAAAAAGTAATAGTCGGTAGGTGCAAGGTCTGGTGAGTATGGCGGATGAGGGAGAGCTTCCAACCCCAGCTCTTGCAGCTTGGAGACTGTCTGTTGCGCAGTATGGGGTCGCGCGTTGTCGTGAAGGAGCAGTGGGGACGACCGATTGACCAAAGCTGGTTGCAGATGTGACCACCAGACCTTGCACCTACCGACTATTACTTTTTCCAAAATTTAGACAACTTTTTAGTATTACAGCTGCACAGTAACAGAAATAAAAAAAGTTTGAAAAAATAAGTTTCTTCACTTATTGCATACAAAACGGCAATTTTATAGGTAAAGACCTTTTTTTTTTTTTTTTGACGGTGTGGAAAATCCCTTCGGATTTCCGGCTCCTCGGGGACTCAGGAGCCAGGAGTATGTTGTGATTCCACTAAAAACCACCCGACAGCCGGCCTTAGGTGTCCTACTCTGGGGAGGACCCGGACCATGTTATTTCAGGTCCTCCCCGAATTGACATCATGCCTAATCAGGCCCTATCCCAGGGGAGAACACTTCCCCCTTCAATCGCGGCATGGCAGCCCGATCGCATCTTAATGCAATCAGGCCGGCCATTCCATTCCCTACCGCAGCAATCAATCTGCCACCAGAGGTCCCCACTCTCTGGCGGCCCGCGGCCCCGTCGACGGCTGATATCGCCGCCGACGTCTTCTACGTTCGGGATCGGCCCTCTCCCGATCCCGTTCAGCGGTCTCTTTCTGGAGCATTACAGCTTCACAGAAAGAGACCACTGCGCCCCAGCCCTCCTCACCCGCCAGCATGGCAGCAATGATTGCTGGCGGGGACAGGTCTCGTCCGATTTGGTCGATCAGGACCTCGCGTTCAGACGCCCAAGAGGGGCAGTCTTCCAGCGTATGCTGGGCGGAGGCCCAGTCGGCTGCGCAGTGCTGGCATTGTGCCGTCTCCTCGCGTCCAA